TTTAAAGGGATATTTGAAAAAAAAAAAAAAAAAAAATCTGTTATCATTAATTCTGTATTCACCCTCATGTCATTCCAAACCTGTATGACTGACTTTCTTCTACGGAACATAGAAGATATTTTGAAGATTGTTGGTGACCAAACAGTTTTGGTTCCGATTGACTTTTATTGTATGGACAAGAATTACAGTGCAAGTCAATGGGAACTGAAACTGTTTGGTCACCAACATACTTTAAAGTATCATCTTTTGTGTTCCACAGAAGAAAGAAAGTCATACAGGTTTGAGGGTGAGTAAAAGATGACAGAATTTTAATTTTTTTGGTGGACTATCCCTTTAAAGCATTAGAGACACAAATCCATGTTTTTAGTTGTGAGAACTTTTAGATATTTCAGATGAAATCTAACATAATACCAAAGCATGAAAAGTTAGCACTTTTTTTTTTTTTTTCCCAACCTTTACCTTCTCAACTGTTACCAACAATTAACATCGTACCACAATGACATCATTTTGAAAATGTGTTGAATTAATATCTAATTCACTATAGTAAAAATATATATTTTTTTTAATAAAAATGTTTAGATTCTTTTTGCAGCATGGAGGGGTGGAAAATAAATGCTTTTTACACAAATTTTAGTGTTGACGGCAAATCAAGTTATAATAATATGATAAATATGGGAAACATAAGCCAATATATCCAAGATTTAGTATCAGACTGACTAGTGTCCACTGAGTGATAGTTTAGTAGTTTAGACTATATTTGTCAGCTTTAGTAATATACTGTACAGTATAGATTTATAATATTGAATTTATAATTTATACATATATGTGTGTGTGTGTGTGTGTGTGTGTGTGTGTGTGTGAAATGTTATTACAATATAGTTAAAAGAAGTTAAAATAACTCTTTTCTATTTGAATTTATTTTAAAATGTAATTTATTCTTGTGATGGCATAGCAGAATATTTGAGTCTTCAGTGTCACATGGTTCTTCAATAATCATTCTAATATGTTTATTTGGTCAAAAAACATTTCTTATTATGATCAGTCTTGAAAACTGAAAAAGAACAAAAGAACATAATTTATTTAAAATAGAAATATTTTGTAAAATGATGTGTTCACTGTCAATTTACTGTCATTGTGGAATAAAAATATTAATTTATTTTTTTTAAATCTTTCTGACCCCAAACCTTTGAATGGTATATGTATATATTTATATATTAAATATATATTTCTGGAAAATTAAAAAAATAAAATGAAATCACAAATTGTTTTGTATCCTATCCATGGAAAGTGCCTGTTTATGAAAATCACTTCTTTCCCATTCATTGAATTAGTTTTTCCATTCGTACCTTCTCCTTTTTCTGTCTATTATCAATTGTCGGTGTTCATCATTTGGGGTCTGTGCTATCGGGGGCCACGCTCTGTCTCTTTCCCCACCAGTGCACCATGTGAGCAGAGGGAGAGTGTCCGCAGACTTAGACACAGTCTGGGTTGTTTCAGCACTCTGGTGCCTTGGGCAGACAAGCCCCCGTCTCCCATGCAGTCCCTCGGCCTAAGAGCTCCCCACCCAGCCAACCCCAACAACCCTGCCTCCTGGTACTCTGGCCTCTGTCCCTGCCTCACAGGCACAGTGTCTACCTCTACCTCTCTCTTCATAACTTCATAACCCATTAATCTGAACATGAATGGAATATGCATGATTACTAGTGTGTCTAATGCCGAAGGCTTGTGTCAGTTTGCATTGTCTTCTGAACTTCACTTTTATTTGCAGGAACTCATGTTGGTGCACTTGGTTTCTCTTTTAGGAAAAGGCTTTGTACTGACATCCATCTAACATTTGACCTTTCTGTTTTGCACTGGTTTGTATTTCATTGCAAAATAAGCTGTGTGATTTTCAAGATATTTTTCGATTTGGTGAAGGGCGTCAAGCCCAGTTATTTTAAAACAAGTTTTACCCTCTTTGTTTGAATAATAATGTGTTGAATGAGATCCTCTCACTGTGTTGAAATGACTTACTGTTTCAATTAGGTGAGTCGCGAAAAAAAGTTGTTTGAAATCAAGTCCTTTTTTTTTTTTTTTTTGGGGTGGATTATTGCACAGAAATTGTAACACTTGTAGCATTTACAGCAACACTAAATTAAGCCAAATGTATTCCATATATTTTCTATTTTTAACTTTTCTGTGAACTGTAATGTGAGTGGAATAAAAATCACTACTATTCAACAAAAGGTATTTTTAAAAAACAGTATGTATCTGTATACAATACAATATTTTGGACAAACTGTATTTTCCATGATAGTGTAAATGTCCAGCTTTAAGGCCCAATCACACCAAGAACAAAAACTATAATGATAGCTATATTAGCGTCCACATCAACTCACTATAATGTTCTGTTTATTATAACTCTGCACTGCAGTTTTGTCATCTGCCGCTTTAAATGCTCAAGTTCTTTAAAGCAGGATGGATTCTGATGTTGATGGTTTTGCTATTCATCAGCTGTAAAAAAAAAAAAAAATCTTTTTGAAAGTTATTCCAACGGTATAATTTCTCTGTGTCATTATTGTTATAGTAGGGACTCGGCTATTATTTTAAATTTTAAAACCATACCTTTATCGTTACAGTTATCATCCTTGGTGTGAACGGGCCTTTAAAGCTTTACCCTCTGATTGCTCTGTGGTTAGCTTGACTTTTCACTCTTCAAACTCTGATGGTTTTTATTTGGAGATTTTAATACAGTATCTTATCATTTTCTCCTCCAATAGCTTTAAACCCTGCGCAGAAAGAATATATGTGGCTGTGAGTGAAATGGCTGCCCTGTTCCCCAAGGTGTGCACTGTCTCTCCACACTTCATAAATGCAATAAACATATCTGTAGTTTTTTTTTTTTTTTAAACATATTTGTATTTTTTTTTTTTTTTTTATTTGGATGTGTATTGGCCACAAAAAGTATTTGGACACTTAGGTCACACTTTTGATCAAATATTATTTATAAATTACTTCTTTTTTTTTTTTACATAATAATAATAATAATACAATTTATTTTAATATTATGTTTATTTCAATTTTATTACAATTCTAAAATTCACTAAAATATGTGACCCTGGACCACAAAACCAATCATAAGGGTCAATTTTTCGAAATTGAGATTTATACATCATCTGAAAGCTGAATAAATAAGAAAAAATAAGTACAATATTTGACTGAGATACAACTATTTGAAAAAAGTTGTCCAAATGAAGTTCTTAGCAATGCATAATACTAATCAAAAATTAGGTTTTGATATATTTATGGTAGGAAATTTACAAAATATCTTCATGGAACATGATCTTTACTTAATATCCTAATGATTTTTGGCAAAAAAAAAAAATCGATCATTTTGACCCATACAATGTATTTTTGGCTATTGCTACAAATATACCCCAGCGACTTAAGACTGGTTTTGTGCTCCAGGGTCACATATAAGTGTCCAAATACTTTCATGGGGCCTTCTGGACATTTATTTACTAGTTTATAGAGCTATTACAAAAATCACTCTTTTGATCAAATATTATTTATAAACTATTTATATACATTATTATTATTATTAGTAGTAGTGGTGGTAGTAGTAGTATTCACTAAAATATTTATATACATTTAAGTGTGGCTTAAGTGTCCAAATACTTTCTTGTGTAGTTTTTGTAGTAGTCTTGAAGTACTATAAAATAGTCTTAATGTATTTTCTGTGTATTTATTTCTGTATTTTCACCTTTGTCCACAGAGACCACGCTCTGAGACGGTGAAGAGCTCTTTACGATTATTAACGTCCAGCGCAAACCGGCTGCAGAGTGAGTGTAAGAAAGCGTCTCCTCTGGAGAGCAGCCCCGCAGCCGACATGCAGTTGGTCACCCAGCAGGTCATCCAGTGCGCTTATGACATCGCCAAGGCTGCTAAGCAACTTGTTACCATAACCACCAAAGAGAACAACAACTGATCCAGCTTCCACCCATTTCCACCTGTAATTCAACCCTAACTCTTTTCCCCATATGTTATTTTATCAATAATTATTGGGTATGTCACATGAGTTTTTTTTTAATCTAAGGTGTATTTGCATGTTTTTATTTTTAATTTAAGGTGTCTGTTATCAGTGTTGTTTGGCTTAAAGCCATAAGATAAAGCCTGAAATGCTCTCAAGGGTTCGTGTATATGTTTTGACCTGTGAAAGTGGCAGTTGAGATTGAGCGAGAAGAATGAGTAGAAATGAATCCGCAATAGAGCAGCAAATCACGTACTAAATATTCCGTAATTGCCTGACTCTTTGCACTGTTCTGAAAACTTTGACTGATTGTACCTCTTCATAATCAAACATTTAGTTCATTATTTGTGGTTGTCTGTGTTGTTTTTAAATGGTTAAATCAAGCCTATTTTTCAGTAATCTCAGTTAAATCTATAATGTATAATAAAATAACCTGTTGTACAAAACATTCAGTTATTGTGGTCAGGTAGGCCAAGTTTAGATACAGGTACAATAAACTTGTAATTATAAAGATGTCATATTAAATATTATTTTAAAAAGATGCCCAAGGTTAAATACCTTTTTCTCAGTTGGATAAACCAGGTGGCTGTAGTTCAGATTTACAGTCTGCATTAAAGAAAAAAAAAATATATAAAGTGAGGAAATGTTAATTAACCTTAGTTTAATTATATTTCATCAGGTAATTGGAGGTCACAGTACAGTATTTAATGACATCTTTTTTTTTTTCAATACACTGCAGATGAGCAACCTCCACCAGCAGATACTTTTTATGATGGTTTAGATGTCTGTGTGTGTGTGTGTGTGTGTGTGTGTGTGTTTTTTTAGATAGGTCATCTTATGGTACATTCAGTTCAGTGTTTGGGCAGCTCTTTACTTTGCAGATTTTTTTTTTTAATTTCCTCTCTAAGTATTATGTTCTAACCTGATCAGGTTAGTCTTACCAAACAGTTGTGCAGTGGACCGGTAGCTCAGTGTTATTAGAGCTTGGAGTCAGTGCGACTTGCAGCTCAGTGTTAAAATTCCCTTCGAGTGTTTGTAGTTGTTCAGATGAACTGCTCTTCCACTCATTAATATTATTGCTATGCCTGTGGTTAAGAAGAAAATGTGTTCTTTATTTTCTAAATAAACTTAATTTATAATTTTGAGCTTCAATTGATGCGCCAGGTTTTTTTTTGCTAATATCAGAAACTGAGTCATATGAATAAAGTGAAAAATAAAAGACCAAGACCTCGTCTCAAATTCAAATTCAAATCAAAAGCTTCTGCTTGTTCTTTTTCTGTTTGTGATTTTAAAACATTTTGTATGCCAAAATACATTCTCTTAACCCAGTTTATTGTTCATTGACTACTATAAATATGTGTTTATCTCACCCCAAAGTGTAAACAATCAAAACATTAGAGCAGGTCTGCTAAGATCTCTTTCCCGCTCAACCCTCAGTCAGAGGGTGTTTAGCTGGTGTGGGAATATACATAAGAACACACTACATGGGAAACGAAATTCAGATTTGGTTACAGAAGTGCAAGCCAAAATACTTGAGGATTATTGTATTGTTTTGATCAGCTGTTTGGACTCTCATTCTGACGGCACCCATTCACTGCAGAGCATCCATTGGTGAGCAAGCGATGTAATGCTAAATTTCCAAATATTGCAATGAAGAAACAAACTTACCTACATCTTAAATGGCCTGAGGGTCAGCAAATTTTCACTTTTGGGTATTCCATGATTTAATTAGCAGTCTTACTTGCATTTTTAATCTTAAAACTGATATGCACTATAACTGTAAAACACTATAAAATGTTTTAAAACTCCAGAACAAAGTGTCTGTCAAGAACACAAATGTAATAATTGAATTTTAAAAACTTATTACAATAAGTGTTAATTATAATATAAGCAATCCACTCACCAAATCTCTTTCTTGCAGTTTTGTCTGGGTGTTAATTTAATTTAAATTTTTTTTATTTTTTTTTTTTGCATATTTATAGCATTACGTTTTGCACACATTGCTGTCCAGTTAAAATTCTTAATTATATATGAATGCAGGAGACAATGGATAACGTTTTCTTTATTGAAACCCTTATCAGCATTGAAATCTATACAAAACAATCTACATATAAAAACAGACCTACTGAACATGCAAACCTCAGCACTAGTGCAATGGAAATTTGAGGTTTAAAACGTACCTATACAATCATTTATGGAAACCATAATGTAAATCATAAACGTATATTAAAAGCATCTCTGAGGGGGAACCTGGTTGTCATTTAACCACAAAGTGGCCGAGATCAACATGGACATGGATATCCCCAATTCTTAATGAAAAACAATGCATCTGATAGGGGATGTGGCACAAAGACTCTTCCTGTGAAGTGCTCTCATGTCCATGCTGACCGGGGTCTGCTGTGTATCTGCCATGGTGAAAAATAGATCAGTTATTATTATTATATTACACTGCGCTTAAAGTCTAATTTCATATAATTTCATTTACACTTTAATCTTCACTCACTCTCTCCTTGTAGCCCTGTCCAATCATTCTCTCTGTCTCAAAACGAAGTTCCTCCTCCTGCTGTCTAAGCTCCTCCCTCTCTTGTAATTCTTCTTGCTCTTGTTGTCGTTGCTCCTCCCACTGTTCCTTGCGTCTGTGCTCCACCTGTTGGACAAATACATCAATTGAAGACATCCAGAACTTATACTTTATAACCCAAGTAAATCTACTAAGTAGTGTTAACTCTATACAGACCTGTGCATTGATCTCCTGCATGCGAGCGGTGCGGGCTCCCTCCTGCTGCTCCCTCTCCTGGCGTAGGGTGAGTCTCTCTAGTTCCAGCTGCTGGATGAGCTCTTCTCTCCTCTGCAGAGACTCCTCCCTTGCCAGCCTGTTCTCCTTCATTCGTTCCTCCAACTGCTGTTGACGTCCTGTCAAGACCTACCAAACATTGATTAAAAATATATCATAGCATCTAAACGCAATCTAACTGTCAGCTATTTAACTACATTTCTTAAAAATTTACATAGTATGAATTATATTATCATTACATAACTGTAGTGTATAATTTAAAATCCAACGTAAAGATTAGGTGAGCCATTTATCTGCCATTGCAAAAATAATGACTGTTTTCAAACACAGAGGTCCACAGAGGCTATAAAATAAGTCATGATTTCAATAAAATAAAATAAGTAAACCATTCATCTTTAAAGGGGTATTATCATACATTTTTTAACCTTATTTTATACACACTAACAAAACACTATCAAAGGTTTATGGTCAGTACAATTTTTATTTTTTAAGAAATTATGCATTAAATTGATCAAAAGTGATAGTAAGGGCATTTATGATGTTACAAAAGATTCATATTTCAAATAAACGCTGTTCTTTTGAACTTTATATTTATCAAAATCCTGAACAAAAAGTATCACGGTTTCCACAAAAATATGAATCACAACTGTTTTAACATTGATGATAATAAGAAATGTTTCTTTATCATGTGTCACTGAAGAGTGGAGCAATTCAGCTTTGCAATCATAGGAATAAATTATATTTTAAAATATACAGTGTTTTTATAGTATTTTTGATCAAATAAATGCAGCCGTAATGAACATAGGAGACTTCATCCCAACTTTTGAAAGATAATGTGTATATAATAAAGTTTTTGCACAAAAATGGATTTTCCATGACTATTTTCCACCCTCTCTCTGACTTCCAAATTAAATAGGCAATTTTTTTGCTGTTATGATCTTCATGCATATGAAATTATATTTAGCACTTACTTGCTAGCTGAGTGTTTGAAAGTCATATACTAGTGTATTCATGAGTCTGGGGACAATTTTTCTCGAAATTACTATATCTATACTACGGTACTTATTTCTCAAAAGATTAAGGAAAATTTCTCATTATTTGACGCCTTTTAAAAAATTCAAAACTTGATAAAATTATTCACATGAATTATGTAAGTAAAGAGCACTGTTGAAGGGGTTTTAAGAAAACCATGGTTCAAGCATGTGACTACTGATCTGTTGTCCTTCAGCTTCAGGCATGCTGTGCACTGTCTCACCTCCCGCATGAGCCTCTCTCTGGCTCTCCTCTCTTTCTCCCACTCTGCCTCTCTCTTCTCCCAAACACGCTGAGCTTCCTCCCTGCAGGCGGCAAACAAAATCAGAGTATGAAATTGACTTCCAGTTACAAACACATTTTAAGTTCTTAACAAACATTCAGACTATACTCACCGATATAAAATATCAAACTCTGCCTCCCTCTCCCTCTCCAGCTGGAGCTGCTCCTCTATGACTCTCTTCATCCAGGCGGCGTCAGCGACAGCTCTCTCTCTCCTGGCTTTCTCTATTCTCTGCTCCTCCACTCCTCCCTCCAGCAGCGCTGCCAGGATCTTGCGGTCTGCCTCCTGGTGGACAGGTATTGCAGTCACTCAGTCAGGACAAATTATATTCAGCTTTGGTGTAAAACTTCAGTTTTTTGAGGTAACCTACCAGTTCTTCCTGCACCTGCTGTGCTCTCCTTTTCAGCTGAGCACGGTACTGACGAGTCAGGAAATGCCTGTGCAGGCAGAGAACAGTCGCTTTAGGCTACTGCAGAACAGTGTCAATTTAGTATTCTTTATATACGATTCTATTTGTATTAACATTTCAAATGAACTTTTATATTTTTAGTTTTCATTTGAATTTTAGTTACATTTTTAGTAATTTTGTTATGTGCTTTTTTCTTCTTTTTTAAAGACAAAAAGTTAATTTTTAAATTTCAGTTAATTTTTGTAAGTCACTTTTTATTTCAGCAAGGTGCCAAGGCAACATCTAATTTTCATTTACTTGTTTTTCATCTAATATTTATATTGTATTTAAAATGTATTTAAATTAACATACATTTTTAACAGTTAGTTTTAGTTAACATTGTTGCAGAGGAAATAAATCCCTCAACTTGTCTAAATATTTTACCCAAATTCGGTTTTCCTCCTGCTTTCCTCCATCCTCTTCCTCTCATCCTCTAGCTTCTCAAGCTCCCAGCGTTGAGACATTAGAGCCTCCTGTTCCTGCTTAAGATGCTCAGCCTGGAACAAGAACGAAATGGAATTACATTTGTGCAATATATATATATATATATATATATACACACACACACATTAATAAACACACAAAGTTGAGTTTATTTGATCTTTATGGTGTTTGTTATTTGTCACATGGTTGTTGTTGTAGCAATGCATTACAAGTATAATCTATTTTACAGTAATTCCATACTTCCTGTTCCCGTAGTTTGAGCTCCTCCATTTGTTTACGGAGATCTTCAGCTCGATTTTTTTCCTCTTGTTTTCTCTTCTCCTCTTCTTCGTTCATTCTTTCCAGAGCCTCACGTCTTGTCCTCTCATACTCATTCTCAAAACGCCGTTTCTCCTCCTGAGTTCTCTCATCAGCCTGAATGATACAGAACAGAGTTACATTTCAATGCGATAACATCACAGAACACTGGCCATGTTAAACAAACAAAAAAAGTCAATTTCTTAAAAAAATGAAATGTCCTTCTTCTCCAAGGACTCAACTACTATTATTTGTACACAAAAATTCAAGATGTTAATGTTACATGATGCTCAACTGGTATGCATGAGCCAACATGGCAGCACTGGCATTTAACACCTCCTGTGAACATCTCACCTGTTTTTTCTCCTGATGTTGAACCTCCCACTGGCTCACAACATGATCTTTGTGCAACTCTGACTCCACCTGTACGCACAAACATTTGAGACACTGAGATGTCTGATTAAAAAATGCTCCAGAAGTGGTTGCGTGTGTTTGGAACCAAATCCCGAGCTCAGAGTTACAGATCAGTCATGGAAGAAACGCATCCCACGCCCTATTAACTTACAGTCATGTCTGGTTCTTGATAAAAAAAAGTGTTTTTTCGTTGCAGGAATTCTGTCGATTACCACAGAAATTCTGACTCATCTCTCAGTTTTTTTTTAGTAACAGTAAGGCAATTTTATTTGAGGTATATAGGCAAAATATGCAATCTGAGGGATTTAAAAGCAGAAATGTGAAGCTCTGAAATAAGTCCCTTAAACTCATCAAGGCTGCATTTAATTGATCAAAAATA